TCTGTCTGTTTATGCTACACCATAATTATTTTAAAAATTACACAATGATTTGTAAAATGTCTGTCTGTTTATGCTACACCATAATTATTTTAAAAATTACACAATGATTTGTAAAATGTGTGCTCATATAAATACTCACAGGTGTTCTTCAGATAGACAAGGGAGGATAGAGCTTTCCACAGCAAAGAAGTCATAATGTTGGGTGGGGAAGTATTTCTTCTTAAGAGAGTCATTTGTCTTTTGTATTTTCATATGAATTGTAATCAGCTTGTCTAGTTCCCCCTAGAAAATCTACTGGGGTGTTGGTTGCTATCATGTTGAATCTGTCCATTGGGTTGAGGTGAGCACTCTAACATATGTAATGTGTTCATCAGATGCTGTTACCTGAGCAGGCTCTGGACAGTCTTCCTTCTAGACTCTGCTCCCTTCACATTCTTACCAAAGGTTCCTGACTCAGATGCTCAGACTTCAGGGCTGTGATGAGAACACAGTGAAGACCCGTGACCCCTTCTTTGCAGGAGGTATTTCCCAAGAGTAGTAAATTCCTGGAGGCACTGGGGAGGCCTAGGATTATGAAAAGTGGAGTTGGGGAAGAGCCAGATAAGAATCTGGTAGAACAAATTTATCCTTGAGTCCCCATCAATCTATGGCAGGGACTTGGGTCCTACATCCGTGCTCTCGGGTCACCCTTTCCTGCCACCATTTGAACCCAGGCCAGATCCATAAGACTCAGCCCCTTAAACTACTCCTTTTTCTCCTTCATCATTCTGTCACCGCCCCTTCATTTTGCTCTGTGGCTAGGGTCATTAGTTCCACATGAAAGCCAGTTACAAATCTGAGATGTTCCACAGTCTGGCTGACCATGCAGGAGAAGAAAGGGGACTCACTGTCAGGTGAAGAAAGTTGTTGAGGGTGTCTCTCACATCAAAAGAGGATTATTATGTACTAAGATACTCAAGGACTGGTTAAGGAAAGTGTTCTTGTAGCAGGTCAGAGACAATCTCCAGGCTAAAGGGTGGCTTGCTATCAGCCTGCAGGGGCTTTACAGTCTCAGAAATTCTGAGCTGTATGGCAACAGAGGAGCCACCTCCCAGAATGAGCTCTCTCACTCACTGGGGCTTCTGTGGGGCAGTTGGATTGTTGGTGGGACTGGAGAACAGGGATAGCAAGAAGGGCTAGGAGGAGTGGGGCAAAGACGGAGGAGTAACATGAAAGAGGAGCCAGATGAGCAGGAGAGTGAGTGAATGGTCTGGTGGGAACAGAGGAAGAGCAGGGTGGGAAGTACTTAAGGCAGAGTGGCGGAACGGACAGTATTAGTGAGGGGAGGGAAATTAGTGGGGGTGGGGACAAAAGAAATGGAGTAAGGCCTTACTGTAGAGTAAGGCTAAAGTCTGGAAGAATAAGGAGATGGGGAGAAGGTGGATTGGGTGATGAGAGGGTAAAGGGAGAGAAGGAGGAAGAGCCTGGGGCTGAGTTGGAGAAATTAGAGGTAGCTTTCTTTTCATCTTTTTAGAAGATACTCCTTGATACTTTTCCAAAAGCAGTCAAAGTGAATAACAGCTCATGGCAAAAGAGTTCCAGTATTTATCTCACTCATTACCTCTTGCATCATCCCATGACTTGAATGCCTCTCATAACGTAGACCCGGCCTTCTGGTCCTCTGAGTAGGCATACCAACCCAGGAAAATATCCAGTATCTAGGTTCCTCAATAGTCATGGGAAATCGCAAAGATAAAAGAAGTGGAGCTGTGATGTTAGTTCCTCTTCTTGGGATAACTTTCAGTTTGTCCCTCCAGTAAGCAAATATTGATCAAAAGGCTCTAGTAGAGCCAAGTGCTTAGGCTTTCTTACCAATGTTTTAAATGCTCTTGCTTTATTTATTTTTATTGTGCTTTCCTGAAGGGGAAGGTCTGCTTGTTTGACACCACTTATTTAGTTTTTCTGCATTGCTGAGTGCTGCTAGAAATAAATTCATACAACTTGGAAGGTTTCCCAAAATTCATGGTATAATTTTACTTCTATATTCTATCATAAACAAAAGCATGGCATCGTATGTAAGACTGCTCTGGTGATCATTAGTTCCTGTTTTTGTTTTTGTGTGTGTGTGTGTGTGTGTTTTTTTTTTTTTGCTTACCTTGGAATTTCTTTACTGCTATTCTGTAACGACCCTTGCTGGTTATAGTGCTCTTAGTTGGCAGTGATGTTCTTTCTGGATCTGCTCTCCAGGCCTGGAGGTTTTCTGCTGAATCTGCTGTTAGTCTAATGGGACTGCCCTTAAATATGTCACTTTTCTCTTGCAGATTTAAAAATTCTCCCTTGCCTTGTACTTTGAACAGTTTCATGATAATATAAGGATCTTTTTTGGTTATGTCTATTTGGGGTTCTATTAGCTTTCAGCGCATAGATTTCTATGTCTTTCCCAGACTAGGGAAGTTTTATGTTTTTTCATTGAACACTTTTTCTGTATCCTTGCCTTTATTTCTTCCCTTTGAAGTATGCTCATGATATGGATATTTGAATATTATTTTCATTTTTTCTGAGTTTCTTTATTCCTATTCAAATGGCCTGTCTTCAAGCTCTGGTAGTCATTCTTTTGCTTGATCTAGTCTGTTGCTGAGGCTGAAAAATTCAATGGAATTTTTTTATTCAACTTGTTGAGCTCTTTATTTCCAAGAATTCTGATGAGTTCTTTTTCAAAATCTCTTTGCTGAATTTCTCTCTGAGAACCTGCATTGTATTTGTAATTGCATTTAACTGATCTGTATTTCCTTGGAGCTCATTAAATTTATAAAAAATCATTGTTTTGCATCCTTTGTGAAGCATTTCATCGACTTTAGTATCTTTGGACTTTACTAATAGAAAGTGATGATCTCTAGGAGGCATCATATTATTTGTCTTTAAAACATTCTGAAGTTCCTATGTTGTGATTTGTACATCTGGCGGGATGGGTACAGATAATACTTTTATGATATTCTTGGTAAATGGTTTTCTTTTAAAGATGTGCCTTGGGGTATTGGTTTGTTATGAGATACAAGTTTATTTCAGGTGAGCCCCATTGTGTAGCCCCCCTGTAGCTCCTTTGGCTGTGATTAGTGAGTTTGGGTATGGTGCATACTGTATTGATATCATAGAGATCTACAGTCTCTGGTGGTTGTGTAATAGTGGAAAACACTCTACTAGTTCAGTCAGGGGTGGTGTAGACAGCAGAGTGTGTGGGGTCCATCCTGCGTGGCTACTCCTACAGGGGGGATGGTGGTCCTTATTGAGTGGGCTTTTTCAGGCACTGTTAATATTGGCTCTATTATTTGAATGAATTTCTGATATTGGTTGATGCAGTTATGCTGAAGGGCTTGAAGCATTTCTTCCTTAATTGTGCGTGGTACAGGAACCATGAAGAGCTGATTTATGGGGAGAGGCAGGGACAGGAATCACAGCACTCTGTTTGTGGCACCCCTACTCAGTTTTGTCAGCAGTGCTTCAGCAGGCAGGCAGGTGTAACTAATGATGGGGATCCTCTTAGGTATGGTGTCAGCCCAGGTCATGTTTTTCCTTTTTACTGCTACCCTGGGCTTGCATGCCCAGGAGCCAGACCTCAGGTCCCCCCTAGCTGTGCACTTGGAGCCTTTTCTAACCCGGATTTTGTGGTTGTTGTTGTAATGCCTGCAAAAGGTGGAGCAGAAGTGAGTCCTGTCTGGAACCTGGGAAAAATTCTTCTCTGCTGAGGCATTTGCAGGAGTAAAGGCAGCCATTTCAGGAAGTTTCTCTCTGGACCTTCTTTAGCTGTGTGCCCGAGGGTAGGGCATGAGTAAAGTCCTGGCAGTGTTTTACCCCCAGGGAGGAGAACTCTATAGTACCAGGGAGGAGAATTCTATAGTACCAGGGAGGAGAACTCTATAGTACCAGGGAGGAGAATTCTATAGTACCAGGGAGGAGAATTCTATAGTACTAGGGAGGAGAACTCTATAGTACCAGGGAGGAAAACTCTATAGTACCAGGGAGGAGAACTCTATAGTACCAGGGAGGAGAACTCTATAGTACCAGGGAG